TACCTTCCAGGCTAAAAGAAATTCTGTGAGTTTATGATGTACTTAATTCGTGGTTGGGAACCTCATGACACAATCTTTTATTTTCCTCCAAAGGATATTGCATATCTGCCATTAAAGAGAAGGATATTGAAGCCAAGCTGACTCAGGTGATGAGAAATGGACCAACCAAAATCTGAGTTTTGCGGCATTTAAGGGAAAGGGAGAGCTCCTGCTCAAAGGAACTGAATCAGGAGAAATTATCACTTTGATGGAGGATAGTTTAATGGTCTTAGGATCCTTACTAAGCAACAGGTAATTTTATAATTTGGGGGAGAGGGTTAAGTTGGGTATTTAGATCGGGTACAATACCAGGTAAAATCCCAGTTTTGCAGCTATGACATTCCATAGGAAGACTTCTGTTTTAGATTGCTAGATTTTGTCTGTCTGTCGATGAACTATTTCCCCTAATAATCATGGCCTCTGTGTCTTCATTCATAGTAGTTATCTCTCCTTCCCTCTTCTTTCCGGTGGAATTCCACCACCGTGGCGATGACATCAGATCTGCCGGTCTACTGCCCGTCGCTTTCCATTTTGATAAGCCAGGTTAACCTGCATTAATGAATCGGCTGCAGTGGCACATTCACTGCCACCGCAGCCTCGACCTGCTGGGCTCTCAATCCTTCTGCCTATGCCTGCCAGGTAGCTGGAACTACAGACACATGCCACCGCCCCCGACTAGTTTTTTGTGATTTATTGTAGAGACGAGGTCTCACCAAGTTGCCCAGTCTGGTCTCAAACCCCCGGGCTCAGGCAGTCCTCTTGTCTTGGCCTCCCAAAGTGCTGGGATTACAGGCTGAGCCACCACACCTGACCTTAATTTATTCTTCAGTGTGTATAACCAAAAGTTAATCAAAGTAGAGTTGAAGTACAAAGGTGACCTCGACAGTGGAGGCCCAGCCAAGTGTCTCTCATCCAAGATATTTAACATCCCTGAAAACCTTGCTGCTGGTTTTGGGTATTGCTATTGGGTTTCAAACTGTGTCATTAAAATTTTACTTAAATATGTTCTTTGAAAAGCACATATGGGCAGGCATGGTGGCTCAAGCCTGTAATCCCAGCACTTTGGGAGGCCGAGGCAAGAGGATTGCCTGAGCCCACGGGTTTGAGACCAGTCTGGGCAACATGGTGAGACCTCGTCTCTACAATAAATCAAACAAGTTAGCCAGACATGGTGGTACATGCCTATAGTTCTGGCTACTTGGAAGGCTGAGGCGGAAAGATTGCCGGAGCCCATGTTGGGGTGGCCATGAGCGTGCCACTGCACTCCAGCCTGGGCAGCGGAGTGAGACTCCAACTGAAAAAACAACAACAACAACAACAAATATATATATATATATATATATATATATATATGCAAGAATAGCCAAGAAAACATTTTTTTAAAGAGAAAAATTGCAAGCTGGGTGCAGTGGCTCAAGTCTGTAATCCCAACACTTTGGGAGACCTAGGTGAGAGGATTGCTTGAGCCCAGGGGTTTGAGACCAGCCTGGGCAACTTGATGAGGCCTCATCTCTACAATAAATAAAAAAATTAGCCAGCTGTGGTGGTGCATGCCTGTAGTTCCAGCTACTTGGAAGGCTGAGGTGGAAGGATCACCTGAGCCCAGCAGGTAGAGGCTGCACTGGCCGTGAGCATGTCACTGCACTCCAGCCTGGGTGACAGAGTAAGACTCCGACTCAGAAATAATAACAAAAATAAAAGAAAACAATTTCAAAGGGGAGGTTACCCCTTCCAGACATTAAAACATACTATCAAGTCTCTGTAAGTAAAGCAGTGTAGTACTCAGACTAGTAGAATAAAATAATCAGATGTGTGTAGTAGAATAGAAAATCCAAAAATAGATGCAGATATACTTTTTTTTAAATGGTACAGACAACTGGTTAGTCATTTAGAAAAGCATAAAATTAGATCCATATTTCACAGCCTACACAAGAATAAACTCGAAATGGATCAAGAATCTCAATGTAAAAGTGAGAGCATGCAAGTACTGCAAAAACATGGGTGAATGCCTCTTTAACCTGGGTTAGGGAAGGATTTTCTGTCTCTAAATCCAGATGAAATAAAAGAAAAGACCAGTTGATTATATAAAAAACAAAACTCTTCCACAGGAAAGAAAACACTAATAAGGTCAAAAGGTAATTCACAAACTGAAAGGAAATATTTGCAATATATCTTACAGATAACAAGCTAATAGCCTTGATGTGTGAAGCACTCTTAAAGATTAAGAAAAAAATACCAGCCGGACTCAGCCTGTAATCCCGCACTTTGGAAGGCTAAGGTGAGTGAATTGCCTGATCCCGCGGGTTTGAGACCCGCCTAGGGAACTTGGCTAGACCGTATCTCTACGATAAATCAAAAAATTAGCCGGGCATGGTAGCGCGCACCTGTAGTTCCAGCTACTTGGAAGGCTGAGGCAGAAGGATCGCCGGAGCCCAGCAGGTTGAGCAGGTTGAGGCCAGGAGTGGCCACTGCACTCCAGTCTGAGCAACAGAGTGAGACTCCAACTCAAAAAAAAAAAAGGAAAAAAGTACCAAAAATCCTATAGAAAAATGGACAAAAGGCTGGACATGGTGGCTTATGCCAGTAATGCCAGTGCTTTGGGAGGCTGAGACAGGAGGATCACTTGTAGCCAGGAGTTCAAGACCAGGTAAGCAATATACTGAGACCCTCATCTCTACAAAAAAAAATAATAATTAGCCAGGAGCAATGGTGTGCATCTGTAGTCCTAGCTATTTGGGAAGCTGAGGCAAGAAGATCCCTTGAGCCAAGGAGCTCAAGGCTGCAGTGAGTGAGCTATGATCTCACTATTGCACTCCAGCCTGGGCAACTGAGTGAGACCTTAACTCAAAAAAAAAAAAAAAAAAACCAGATCCTGAAACATGATCTCACTAATTAGATAAATGCAAATTAAAATTACAAAGATAACCATTTCTCACTTATATTGCAGATATCAAAAAGTATGACAACAAGCCGGGCTCGGTGGCTCAGCCTATAATCCTGCGCCTTTGGGAGGCTGAGGTGAGTGGATTGCCTGAGCCCGCGGGTTCGAGACCCGCCTGGGCAGCGAGACCTCATCTCTACAATAAATCATATTTCAGCCGGGCGTGGTAGCGCATGCCTGTAATTCCGGCTACTCGGAAGGCTGAGGCGGAAGGATCGCCAGAGCCCAGCAGGCGAGGCTGCGGTGGCCGGGAGCGGCCACTGCACTCCAGTCTGGGCAACCGAGTGAGACTCCAACTCAAAAAAAAAAAAGTATGACAACATATTCTGTTGGTGAGGCTGTGCGGTAACAAGAACTCCCCAATGTTGCTGGTGGGGATGAAATTTGATACAACCCACGTGGAGGGGCATTTGACACTAATAAATAGATTTGTTGGGTATGGTGGTGCATGCCTATAGTCCCAGCTACTCAGGAGGCTGAGGTAAGAGATTGCTTGAGCCCAGGAATTTGAGTCCAGCCCAGGCAATATAGCAAGATCCTGTTTCTTTAAAAATATGAGAAAAAATTTGTTGAGGCACTTTGGGAGGCCAAAGTGGGAGGATTGCTTGAGCCCAGGAGTTTAAGATCAACCTGCACAATATAACAAGACCTTCAAAAAAATTTAAAAATTGGCCAGTGGCTCAGCCTGTAATCCCAGCACTTTGGGAGGCCGAGGCAAGTGGATTGCCTGAGCCTGTGGGTTCAAGACCAGTCCGGGCAACTTGATGAGACCTTGTCTGTACAATAAAATCAAAAATTAGCCGGGCGTGATAGTGCGCACCTGTAGTTCCAACTACTTGGAAGACTGAGGCAGGAGGATCACCTACGCCCAGCAGGTCGACGCTGAGGTGGCTGTGAGTATGCCACTGCACTCCAGCCTGGGCGACAGAGTGAGACTTCAACTCAAAAAATAAAAAGATTAGCCAGTCATGGTGGCACATCCCTGTAGTCCCAGCTACTCAGGAGGCTGAGGTGTGAGGATCACCTGTGCCCAGGAAGTCAAGGCTGCGGTGAGCTGTCATCGTGCCACTGCACTCCACCGTGGGCAACAGTGAGACCCTAACTCAAAAACTGTTTTTAGAGATAGATTTGACTCAGCAATCCCATTTTAGAATTGTGCCCTGCAGATATACCTTCAACAAAAAAATACATGTGCACAGGTTATTGACTGCAGCCTTGTTTGTAAATGTAAAGACTAGGAAACAGCCTGAGTATTCCTGTAGAGTGGTTGAATAAGAAAGGGGTCCACACAATGGAGTATAATACAGATGTAAACTATGATAATGGAATTAAGTAGAAATCTGTGAACTGATGTGGTTTCCAGGAAATATGACAGTATTAAGTGAAAAAAGCAATGTGTGGGAGTATAGTATGCTACCTTTTGTGGAAGAAAGAAGGGGAGATAAGAAAATATACACATATTTTACTCATTTGTATAAAAACAGGAAGGAGAGATCACCTATGAGGGGTGGGAAGACTGAAAGGAATTGGGGGAAAGGGACATGTGACTGTGCGTATCTTTTATAACATTCTGACTTTTGTTACTATGTTAAAATATCACAAAAAAATAAACAAGGATAGGGACATGAACCGTTTCTTTCTTTCTTTTTTTTTTTTTTTTAGTCAGTTTCACTGTGACCCAGGCTGGAGTGCAGTGGCACATTCATGGCCACCACAGCCTTTGACTTGCTGGGCTCAGGCGATCCTTCCACCTCAGCCTTCCAATTAGTTGAAACTAGAGGCGCACATCACCACACTTGGCTAATTTTTTGATTTATTGTAGAGATGAGGTCTTGCCAAGTTGCCCAGGCTGGTCTCGAACCCATGGGCTCAGGCAATCCTCTCACTTCAGCCTTCCAAAGTGCTGGGATTATAGGTGTAAACCACCACACCCAGCCTCTGAACTATATTTAAATCAATAACATAACCACAGTGAAGAGGGAGAAATACCTAAATTTTGAGCATCATATTTTGACAACATGCCCTCAGACTAAAGATCAAAATAACCCTAAACAAATATTAAATTCTGTTTTGTAGGTTTCTTTTTTCACAGAGGCATGGGTTAGCAATGCTGAGTGTACTTTCTGTATATTCTAGGATTGAGCAAATACTGATAATGAATCACGGTTCCCACTGTCAAGAAAAGGTATTACAAGCGGGGTGCAGTAGCTCACACATGTAATCCCAGTACTTTGAGAGGCGGAGGCGAGAGGATTGCTTGAGTCCATAGGTTTAAGACCAGCCTGGGCAACATGGCGAGACCTCGTCTCTACAATAAAATCCAAAAATTAGCCGGGCATGGTGGCACACGCCTGTGGTTCCAGCTATACTTGGAAGGCTAAAGCGGAAAGATCACCCAAACCCAGCAGGTCGAGGCCATGGTGGCCATGAGCGTGTCACTGCACTCCAACCTGGGCATCAGTGAGACTCTCAGTCAAAAAATAAAAAATAAATTAGCCAGGCATGATGGTGCACACCTGTAGTCCCAGCTACTTGGAAGGCTAAGGTGGAAGGATCATCCGAGCCTAGAGGGATGAGGCTGTGGTGGCAATGAGCATGTTACTACACTCCAGTCTGGGTGACAGTGAGACTTCTACTCAAAAAAAAAAAAAGGAATTACAAATATGACAAAGAAAAAATGAATCTTGTGGTGTTTGGAAATTGAAAGCATCACTGTGAACTCATGGTTTTTCATGTCTAGAGATACATGGAAAAATAGATATGGGTGTAGTGGTGCCTTTTCCTAACCTTACCTGTTGAAAGAACCTGGAGGCTGTAGCCATGATTACACCAGTAACTTCATCTTGGTTCCTAATACCATTATCCATGAGAAGAGTTGGGGCTTCTTGCAGAAATGGCCGAGTTCAGGGCTGGGACTGGGACAGTGTCCATGAGCCGGAAACACCTTGCTGTGCTAGAAAGCAAACAAGTACCCAAAGGACAGAGACATGCCAAGATGACACCAGAGAAAGGCTGAAAGGACTCCTACTGGCCAACTCTGGAACAACTTGAGAATCAGTAAAGAATTATGCCCTGTTGAATAAAATAGCTTGAGTGAATGAATAAACAGGGAAGAAGGCAAGCTCTTCCACATACTAGAAAGCCAACTAATAGATGCAAAAGAAATGATGGAGTGAGAAAAATCAACATTTGGCAACCGTAGTCATAATAACTGAGTTAGGCAAGAACCATCCATGGATGCTGCAATGGGTGAGTGGAAGTTTAAGGGGTAACTGAAATTTACATAGTCTAAAAGTATTTCCCCACTTATAATTGACAATATAGTAGTCTCATAATGGGCCAGGCATGGTGGCTCACGCTTGTAATCCAGCCCTTTGGGAGGCTGAGAAAGGAGGATTGCTTAAGGTCAGGAGTTTGAGACTAGCCTGATCAACATAACAAGACCTCATCTCTACCAAAAAAAGAAGAAAAGTAGTAATCTCATAATGGAGAAACCTGGCAAACCTCATCCTAACCAGGCTTCCTGCAATGGCACAAATTACATATGCCTCCTGTTGTAACTGCAAAGCCCAAATCTAATACGAGACAAAACCCCAGACTGAAGGACATTCTTCAAAATAATTAGCCTGCACTTTTTTAAAATGTCAGTGTTTTTGGAAGAGTGAGGTGAAAGAATCACTTGAGCCCAGCAGGCTGAGGGTGTGCTGGCCATGAGCGTGCCACTGCAACCCTGTCTGAGCGACACTGAGACTCTAACTCAAAAAAAAGTTTTGTCAGATTAAAAAAAGCTAGAGACATGGCACCTGAATATCCTGTGAGGTTTGGAGGTGGGGGAGATTAGCTATGAAACATTGGGAGAACTGGCCGTATCTGAATATGGTTTGTGGTAGGTTTTATAGTATTGAGTCAGTGTCAGTTCCCTTATTTTGATAGTTGCACTGCAGTGATGTAATGTTAACATCCCTGTTTTGGAGGGATATACATAAGTATGTAGAAGCACAGGGGCATCATTCTGTAACTAACTGTCAAATAGTTCAGGAAAAAAATGTGTGTGTGGAGAAAGGGATTGGAACAAATGGGGCAAAATTTTCAAATGGGGCAAAATGTTAACATCTAGGGGATCTAGGAGACGGACAAATGGGAACATTTTTGCAACTTTCTGTATCTCTAAATTTGTCAAAATAAAAGCACTAAAACAAACTTTCATAACCTGAAAGGGGAAAAAACCGCGTCCTTTGTCTAACATCCAAAGTGCAGCTCTAGCTGCTCATAGCTTTTTGCTGGAGGCACATGCTCAAACAGGCCAGCACCGGCCTACAGAGCTCTGGAGGCCCTCCCACCCTCTGTGCATGCTAAACAGCCATGCTCTTGGTCTTCTGTCACGCAGGGGTGGAGTCTAGCAGAGAACCTTTTTTGGGATTGCAATTGGATATGGATGATATAAAGACATCTTTTTTTTGAGTCTGAGTCTCACTGTCACCCAGGCTGGAGTGCAGTGGGATGCTCACGGCCACCGCAGCCTTGACCTGCTGGGCTTGAGCGATCCTTGTCTCAGCCTTCCAAGTAACTGGAACTGCAGGCAGGCACTGCCACACCCAGCTAATTTTTTGATTTATTGTAGAGATGAGGTCTTGTCACGTTGCCCAAGCTGGTCTCAAACCCATGGACTCAGGAAGACATCTCCTAAAACAAAGATTCCTGATGTTTTCTGGCTCATAGTCCCTTTGAGATCCTGATCAAAAGTGTAGGTCTTATTGTTGCAGAAAAAAATGTACATATGCGCTGGGCATGGTGGCTCAAGCCTGTAATCCCAGCACTTTGGGAGGCGGAGGCAAGAGGACTGCCTGAGCTCAGGGGTTCGAAACCAGCCTGAACAACTTGGCAAGACCTCATCTCTACAATAAATCAAAAAATTAGCCAGGCATGGTGACATGCACCTGTAGTTCCAGCTACTTGGAAGGCTGAGGTGGAAGGACCGCCTGAACCTGGGGGGGGGGTCAAGGCTACAGTGACCATGAGAGTGCCACTACACTCCAGCCTGGGTGACACAGTGAGATTCTAACTTAAAAAAAAATGTGCACATGCCCATTTTAATCTAGTTTTGAATCTAATTTGGGAGAGGAGTTCATGAATAACCTTTACTCAGGTAATGGGAATGCCTAGAGCTGTGAGCCACTTTTCATCGGTCTGGCTGATGAGAGGCTCCCAGGAGCTGGATGAGGCTGTGCAGGGTCTGCTGTGACATGCACACCCGGCCAGTTTCTCATTGCTCCAGTTAACGAGACAATCCTTCCACCAAGAGGACTCCAGAAAGATGTGGCTTCTGTTTAACAAGCACTTTGCATGCCAGGCACAGTGCTAAAGGCTCCTGGACCCTAGCAATCCCAGGAAGTCCGTGTTGCCACCCATCTTACAGAAGAAATGAAGGCTGAAAGAAATTGTATAACTTCCCAGTATGTTGTGACAGAGCTGACTCAGGCCTAGGTCTGTCTGATGCCAACCTTGTATGTGCTTCTGCAACCAATCAGGAAATGTTACTTCACCCCAAACCAGATTACACTCAGCCCCACTGGACAGGGAAAGTTACGAATTTTTTCTAAAACTACAGTTGGCTTGTATGTCAACACGCTTTGTCCCCAACTCACCACACACACCAGTCTAGAGGACACACATTTAATGAGACAGTGGCAGCAGCATTGTGACAACTGGGCATCCCTCAGGTCAGCCTAGTCCCCTGCTGTGGGGCCACCCCTGGGTGTGCTCTTCCATAGGTGCTGGCTGTGTACACAGGTTTCTGGGCTCTTCCTACTGTGCTGTGGACTTGCAGAAAGGCTCACGCGTAACTCTGTTTAAAGACCTTGTCATCCAGAAGGGGCAGGTGGGGAAGAGATGTTGGGTAGGAGGTTTCAGAAGGGCCCAACCCTTTGTCCAATAAATGCCAGCATAGATTTTCTGTAACTGGAATAGCGTCATGTTGATTACACAAGAGATGTAATGGCCAATGTCCATATGACAGAACTGTGATGCAGTCATGAGAAATGTGTGTATTTAGGGGTGTAGACAGAGCACTTGGCCTTTCACCTCATCTTCAACCCCAAGGAAGAGGGAAGCAGCTCAGGGACCCCATGTGGAGCCAACCTCACATTACTCTTAGGGACCTCAACAGTGCCCTTCTCACCTGAGGTAGGTCAACACCACTATCCCCATGTTCCAGATGGGGACACTGAGACAGAACAGACAGCAAGGGCCTTGCCTAAAGTTGCTGTGTGGGTAAGACAACACCATCCCCTTCCAGATGGTGCAGAGGGGCAAGGAAATGACGATACTAGCTTCACCCACCTCAAGTGAGCCAGTGAGCTTCGCTGACCTTTCTGCAGGCTGAGGTGTCTCCTCTTGGGCTTCCTGTTTAAGGGTGACAGACAACCAAGCAGCTACATTCCCTGTGCTTAGCCCATGTGTGTGCTAGCCAGGCACAGTCCAGGTGAGAAGAAAGGCTGATGCAGGTGCCCCCACTTTCCAGGGGCAAAAGACTAGGAAGGCATGTCCTGAAACATTCCCTCCTGAAGCCTCCCTCATCCGCAGGTTCTGTAAAGTGCAAACTCGGAGGACAAGTGTGCCCCTCACCGAAGAGCTGTAGGTCTCCCCTGCTGTCCAGGGAGCCCTTTGACATGTAGAGTGGGGGACCTCCCACCTCCATGCCGCAGTCTTCCTCATGGGCTCTAGGCTTCATGCCTAGAGCTCCTTTGAGCAAATACTCCCAGCTCTTGACCTCAGGCTCCCAAACAAAAGGCCCTGGCAGGTCATTTCTGAGCCATTCAGAGGTCTCCACAGGCAGCAAGACAGAGCTCCACAGGCAAATCTGGTACCAAGAAATGCCACCCAGGTCTACTGTAATGGATCCCGTTGCCCAAACTGGAACCTCCCCCAGGACCACAGTCCCTGCTCCACACCTGGAAACTGGGATATTGTCTTTGGGCAGGACCCACAGCCTCCAGCCTGGAGCAAGGTGGGCAGGACTGAGGCAGCAGCAGCAGGTGAGCCCAGCAGGGAAAGCTCCACAGCCCCTTCCCTCCCTGTTGTACAGAAAGAACGGGTAACCCTGCTGGACTGACCACCTCATGAGGACTCAGAAGAACTTCCGGAGGCCGGGGCAGAGGCAAGTCCCAAAGAGACAGTAACTGAAGAGGATGGAGACTCCAGGTGGAACCCATGCCGTCCATTGCAGGTGAATCTCGGCTGGGCTGGGTTTGTGCAGCCAACATCTTCGAGTCTTACCCTTCCTCTGAAGCCCTCTGGGGGTCTTGGCCTGGTGAATTTCCAAGATCACCAGGACAGAAGCCATGGCATCTCCAGTCCCAGACGCCTTGGCCCAGGGCATGGAGGGCTGTGTCATGGGGGAGGGAAGACATCCTCCCCACTCTTGCCCTTGTGGGAGACAGGCGTGGGCCACATCATGACCCCTCCCAGCAGCATATCCAGGTAACAGCTAGGTGCAGCCACCAGAGTCCCAGCCAGCACCTAGGGACGACTGTCTTTGTGGGCACTGCCCACCCCCTCCATCCCAGCAGGGGTGGAAGGTCCAGGAGCCGCATCCCAGGGGTCTCTAGAGCAGAGCGAACAACTTGACACTGGCGATGCTGGCAGGGTGCCCGGCGCTTCCTCAGCCCTAGGCGTCCATGTCGGAACCTGGCTCCTGGAAGAGTGACTGCTTCCGAAGGCTAAGCCGGGCACACTTGGGGCACGTGGTTGAGTTGTCGTAGTAGCAGTCCCTGGGACAGGAACAGGTTGGGGCTCTCTGCACATAAAGTCCTTCCCTGAATCCCCACAAGTGTCCTGAGTCAGCTCCCAGTATCCCCTCTATAGATCCTACCGAAGGGCAAGGTGACTCTGCACCCAGAAGTGACCAAGAAGCCCGTGTGGTGAGCACTTACCCAGTGTGGTGATGGGGCCTCCCTAGGGGTCCTCACCATCCACTGTCCCTTAACTATGCAGGTCCCAGGTCATACAGCTGAAGCACTGAGCCAGGCAGTCACCCTCAGCCTCGGCTCGGAGCTCTTGGTTATGATCCCCACCTGTTCCTAGCCCCATGTGCCTAGCCTCCTCTCACTTCCCAAACTGTGTCTCAAGGCACCCTAGTGCACTGCAGCAGAGGCATAGCCTCCCAGCCTAGTTTAAGTTTTAAGAGATCAGGCCAGCTGTGGTGGCTCATGCCTGTAATCCCAACACTTTGGGAGGCCAAGGCAAGAGGATTGCTTGAGCCCAGGAGTTCAAGACCAGCCTGGGCAACATAGTGAGACCTCATCTCTATGAAAAATAAAAAAATTAGCTGGGTGTGGTGGCAGGCAACTGTAGTCCCAGCTACTTGGGAGGCTGAGGTGAAAGGATCACCTGAACTCAGGAGGTTGAGGTTGCAGTGAGCCATGGTTGTGCCACTGCTCTCCAGCCTGGGCAACAGAGCAAGACCCTGACTCAAAAAAACAATGTTAAGAGAACACAGCTATATTTGGCATCTATCTGTCAGACAATGAACAAACTACTAGCTCAAGGGAGTTCAGTTTCAATGTTAGTTTTTGCCACAGTCCCTTCTATGACACTGTAGCTCTGCAGAGCTGAGATTTCAGCAGTTGCTATAATAAACAACAAATGCCGGGCTCAGTGGCTCAGCCTGTAATCCCTCGCTTTGGGAGGCCGAGGTGAATGGATTGCCTGAGTCTGCAGGTTCGAGACCTGCCTGGGCAACTTGGCAAGACCTCATCTCTACAATAAATCAAAAAATTGGCCGGGCGTGGTCACGCACGCCTGTAGTTCCAGCTACTTGGAAGGCTGAGACAGAAGGATCACTGGAGCCCAGCAGGTTGAGGCTGTGGTGGCCGGGAGCGGCCACTGCACTCCAGTCTGGGTGACAGAGTGAGACCCCCAACTCAAAAAATAAAAAATAAAAATAAAAGTAAAAATAAAAAAAACAACAAATGCCAAGCAAAATCAGTGGGCAGAAACAGGGTGGGTCCAGATGGTGCATACATTGTGTATCATTAGGAAGTAATCATGCTTGTTGAAGAATGAAATTAAAATATTTTTCTTCGAATTTGTACGTATTATGTTTCCATACAACCACTAAACCTTTAGGATATAAATATTTATAAAGTTGTTTGAACATAAGCACATTTTCCTGGTGGTCTAGTGGCTAGGAAAAAAATAAAGAAATGAATGTAAGCACTTAATAAATGAAAGTGTTAGGCATTTCTTTTGGCCTAGGACACTTTGAAAAAAATGACTAGATAACACTAAAGGATGCCAGAAACTAGAAAGTTTGGGAACCTCTAGCCTATACAAACCCTGAAAGAACGACTTCAGTCCTGATGGAGAAAGAAAGTAGTTCGGATGCTGTGAACAATTCTGGGGCCAAGCTGGGGCTTCAGGAGCTAGTGCAGGATGGATCTGGGAGGTAGCAGCCCCTCCCAGCCCCACAGATGCCACTCGTAAGGGAACTTTTAATTTAGCCACAGACATCAGAGCCTAACTGCACATCTCAAGGTTAGCAAAGGGCTTTGAAAATCAGCAGCAAAGATCCAAATGCCTGTCTATCTCCCCCCTCGGGCCGTAGTGCCGACTCTCACAGGACCAGCCACACCTGCAGCAGTGGAGAGCCCTCCCCCCCCAGTCAGAGGGCACCTGGACTGCATTCAGGGCCCAAGCCACACCCACCTGTGGAAGACAGCTGAGCAGTCGGTGCACACAGACGTGTGGCTGTCAAACGGGAACAGCACGTCACCCTCTCTGCAGAGCTCACACACGAAGCCCTTGGCCTGACACCGCTGGGGGGAACAGTGTAGGGATTGGGTGTGGCAGGCCAAGGCCAGGGACACAGTGGCTGGACTGCCTCCCCTGCCAATCCCCCCTCAGGGCTAGGTCAGGGGAGAGTGGCCCGCAGTCAAAGCCCACCTCACAGTCCAGCTTGATGTGCTTGGCGAAGAGTGTGTGGGTCTCGGTGAGTGAGCAGCCAAGCCGGCCAGCGTGCACGTCCAGAAGGTCCTGGATGGAGTACATCTCGTCGTTCTCCACAAAATGCTGCCGATCCTGGAGCTGCCAAGTCCCAGCAGCCGTGACCCCAGGCACTGGCAAGGGCTCCCACTGCCCTCCAATGGCTGCTCCCACTGCCAGGGTCCAGGGGTGCTCATGTAGAAATGAGCTTGAGACGGTGTCTGTGTCTGGGCCCCACGAACAAAATCTGGGAGCCCCAGAAGCTGGTGGGGAAGGATAGCAGCAGGGCCACATTTCTGACCTGGAGCCCCCACTCCCTGACACGGCCCCGACCCCCTACGCCTCACCACCCCGCCCATTTAGCACTGCACAGACATCCTGCACCCCTATATCCACACCCCTTCCCTGCTTTATCTCACCCGCAGGGCTCACCAGGCTGACATCCTGCTTTTCTAGGGCAGTCTCTAGGGGCAGGGATGCTGCTGGTTTTGCTCACTGCTCCTCAAAATCTAGAACCGTGTCTGACTATCTGCTGAACTAATAAATAGGGGAACCTTGAATGTGTTTTGTGGCCAACCTGCCTGAGGAGGGCTGAGCTGGGTCCACCCCCATGAGATACACAGGAAGGCCCAGAGATGATATTTTCTCATCTCAGAGCTCCCCAAACAAGTAATCAGAGCATATTTTCATGAGGGGAATACCTATTTGCTTTGTTCCTTGGGGCAGAGACTGGGAGACCCTTTGGTAAAGGCTTTACATATACAAACTATCAAGCAATCTGGAAAGACATGGCTCTGTGTTTCCCATCTGGAGCCAGTCCTCCTGGTGGTCTGACCTGCAGCAGCAAACGAGCCTCCATGGCTTCCTTGCAAGTTATGAAGTACGGCTTCATGAGCAGGATGTCCTGGCGCAGCTTCTGTGGACAAGGGAAAAAGACATCCTCAACCAACACATGGGCTGGTACTGGGGCCACATCTACATGGCTGCCGGGCTGGCCCTGAGCGGACTTCATGGGGGTCCTGCTCACAGGGCATCTCACCTCACACACTGGGTGACAGTAGGCAGTAGGGAATGGTATCCCAGGACGGTCCCACATCTGGGTGCTCCAGGCATGCTCAAGCCCAGATCACAGCTTCTGAGCTGGCAGGACCGTGGGGTTCATTGGAATCCTCCATTCCCTCCAGCCCCACCCAGCCCCACGGGGTGTGACACCACCTGTACAGTACTCAGCAGCCTCAGGGGCAGCACAGGGCCACATCTGACAGACACGCTGAGCCAAACACCAGAAAAATTCCAGATCCCTCCTCAGCCCCTGTGGCCTTGGCAATTCAACTTGCTGCCTCAGTCTCCTCCACCGTAAGATAGAACCTGACTCCTTTTCTCCACCTTGTGGGAGACACTGTCTCCTCTCACATGGACTGTAACTCCTGTCTGCCCTCACTCCTGTCTGCCCTAGCTCCCACCCTACCTCCTCCCTCACTTCTGGCTGAGAGTGGCTGACAACCACACATAGCTACTGAGTATCTGAGAGTAGCTGGTCTGAAACGAGATGGCTGTAAGTGTAGAATACACAATGGGATCAAAGACACAGCACAAAAAAGAACATAGAATACCCCCAAAATTTTGTATATAGATTTTTATGGGATTTTTTTTGTTTTGTTTTTGAGTATAGATACAGGCTAGAGTATAGGGGCACAATCATGGCTGAGGCAGACTTGACCTCCTGGGCTCAGGTGATCTTCCAGCCAGACCCAGTTTTTTTTTTTATTTTTCATAGAGATGAGGTGTCACTATGTTGCCCAGACTGGTCTCAAACTCCCAGGCTCAAGCAATCCTCCTGCTTCGGCCTCCCGAAGTGCAAGGATTACAGGTATGAGCTACACACCCAATCATAGCATATTATTAAAATTAACTTCACCATTTCTTTGTTACTTTTTAATGTGGCTACTAGAAAATTTAAAATTGCCTTCATATCTAGCATCAGATTGCTACTGGACGTGGCCCTATCACCTTCAATCCAAAGGACAGCCGAGAGTCCCTGCTCACCTAAGCCAGTGACCTCTCTCCTCTGCTCAGAACTTCCTGTGGCCCCCACAGCACCCAGGGGCGAGGATGGCTGGCCCAGCCCCAGAGCTCAACCCATGCAGAACCCCACCTCCCACTTTCTGGACCCCCAGCCTCACCCGGATCTCCACCAGCTCCTCCACGTAGGTGAACAGCAGCGGGTTGATCTCCCGGAGTCTGAGCACGGGCCGAGACACCATCAGTGCCAGGTAGCGCATGCTGCAGCGAGACACCTGCATGCGGTGGAGTGGCAGCTCCAGCACCACCCTGGGGGCATCACGCTCCCCACCCAGGCCTGTTGGCCTGCCGTCACCCCGCTAGCTCCTTTCTGCCCTCCCTCCCCAGTGCCACCGCCCTGCCTTCCAGCCCCTACCTTGCGAGGCTCGAAGTCCCAGTTGTGCACGACACGCGCAGGGATGACAGCCAAGTCATTCCAGTGGCAGTGGCTGCAATAGTACTGGCCAGTGTAGTCACACTGTCTGGCCTCACTGGGCACACCCCCTGTGGGGGGCAGAATGGCCATGAAGGTCCTGCCTCTCTCAGCCTGCCCAACTTCCATGCCTAGTGGGCATCCTCCCTTGCCCACAGCTCTCAGGGAAGGAGCCACCTGGGCCAAAGTCTCCCCCCAGAACTGATTTATCCTCTCCTCAGCCATGAGACCTCAGGCCATCCCAGCATCTCACGGCCCTGTTCTCTCAGTACAATGGAACAGGACCCCCCCCAAGGATGCTGAAGGAACCCCATGACTTAACATTAGTTACTCTAGAAAGAAGGCTGACAGGTGGCATGGGCATGGTGACCGTGCGATGTTTTCCTAGTCCCGTCTATATGGGCTTTCTGTGACAATGGGCCAACAGGGAGGCTGAAGTTAGGTTCCAACCCTGTAGGCACTCCCTGGTGACCCGGGCGAGTCACAAAACAGCTGGAACCATAGTCTGCTTAAGCGGGAAGTGAAAAACCAAAGCCAATAACAGCCCTTGCCATTTCCCAAGGATGAGAGAGCCCGCCCCCAGGTCCTCACTCAGCTTTCTGGCCCACACAGCTTTCTCAGCACGCATGTACCCCGGCTCCCCTGCCCAAAATGGCTCCCTCACCCTGTCCTCTCCCCCCGACTCACGCAGAGAGATGGGTGCCCGGCACTCGGCACAGCGGTAATCCTGGCTGTCCAACCCTGTCTCAGGGCAGATGCTCAGCTCATACTCGGCTTGGTGGCTGACTTTGGAGCTCACGCAGGGCTTGGAGATGAGGTTCAAGCACTTGCTGTGACAGCGGTAATAACACCCTGGGGCGGAGGGAAGCACACCTCTTAGAAGTGGAGAGGGCACATCTTACAGCTCAGGCTGACCTTCAGCTGCCCCATGGACTCCGCTCCAAGGCCCAGATCAATCTGAGACCTCTTGGCAGTTAGCCTTAAAGATCCTCTTGTCCCTGTCCCCTGAGCCTGGCCCAAGGGTGGTCTCTTGTCTCGCCACTCCAGACTTACACATGCCAGGCCAACCTGCCATTCCACCCATCAGACCCAACCTGTCCAAACGGAACAAGTGGAATTCCCAGCCTTCTATCCCAACCCTTCAGCTTTCCATCTCAGGCTTCACTGGCTCCCTCTTTTAAACATCATGAGTCATCCTGACATCTTTCTTAATTTTGAGTCAGGATCTCACTCTGTCGCCCAGGCTGGAGTGAAGTGGCAGCCTCGAACTCCTGGGCTCAAACGATCCACCTCAGCCTCCTGAGGAGCTGGGACTACAAGTGCACACCACCACACCTGGCTAATTTTTTAAATTTTTGTAGAGACGGGAGTCTTGCTATGGTGTCCAGATTGGCCTTGAACTCCTGGCCTCAAGTGATCCTCCCACCTTGGCCTCTCAAAGCATTGAGATTATAACATGAGCCACCACCCTCAGCTGGACCACTTACTTATCTCTTATACTCCGTTTCTAAATCTTCAGGTAACACTGAACTTAGCTACTTCTCACTCCACTGCCTCACCCCAGAGTGCTACTTCCTCCCTTTTTCACTCAACTCCCTCTTCAGTCCCTGCTCAATCAGCAGCCAGAGTGATCCTGTTACAGTCTAAGTGTGTCCAGTACCCACTTGTGGCTCCTACTGCATTCACAGAAAAGTCCTGGCCACCGGAGCCCACCTCCCCCAGACATAGAGCTCCAGCCACATGGCTCTCTGCTCCTCCTTGAAGACGCTGGACATGCACCAACCACAGGGCCTTTGCATGCATGGCTCCCCCCACCTGAACATTTCTCTCTGGATAAACTCCTGGCTTGCTCCTCGAGCTTCAAGTTTTTGCTTAACCGTCACATGATGCCTTTTCATTCTGCCCTAGAGTTGTACGTACTCCACCCATAACATGCACCATTCCCTTTCCCTGTTTTTCTTCACTGTACTATGTCTGTCTGACATACCACATCATTTACTAGTTTAATTTCTCATCCAGAACCTCAGTGTCTCACATGGGTAGTACCACTGAAGAAAATTACATATAATTCATTTTAACTTAAATCTGAATAGCCACATGTGGCAAGTGGTCATCATACTGGACAACTCAGATCAGTATGTGAGCCCAGCCGGGCAGATGCTTTGGTCGCTCGCATTCCTTGCACCTCCAGCCACAGCAGGACTCGGTAACTGAGTACCCTGCAGAGAATTCACCTGAATGTGACCCCAATGTGGGAGCAGGGATTTGACATCTCTGCCCCACCCTGAGGCCCCGGGCCACTGGTCCAGCAGGAATGGGTCGGGCCTCAGCCCACCTGTGCAGGTATACCAGGTCTGAATGAGCCCCCAGATGAGGGTGTTGCACTTGTCACAGGTCTGCTTGACACTCTTGCTCTTCTCCTTGTAGAAGCGGTGCTCTAGGAGGACTCGGATGTTGGGCTCATCCTCATTGGGGTCCTGAGGGGAGGGGTCAGGGAAGGGTCATGGGTGAGCTGGGCTGCAGGTCCTTTCCTCCACACAAGCCCCTCAACTTATTTCTTCCAGGCACTGATTATAGCAGATTGTGAGTTTCAGCACAATTCCACACCCCCACCCTGGCCCTTCTCCTTTTTGCAGCAGGACAATGATCAGTCGGGCACAGACCACCAAAATGATACCCTACCCTTCCCAGCTTCCCTTGCAGCATGTGACTACACGGGAGCCACAGGTGTGTGGCAAGGATGATGTGGCCACTCTGCCCTCCCTCCTTTCTGCTGGTTAGGTGCAGACTCAGAAGATATGGCGCAGGGCTATATTAGGTCTCCCAGGGAAGGAAGAGCAATAAAAAAGGGTGACCCGAGGTCCCCAACACCACTGGCTGCTTATGGGTCCTGGACCACCTATGAGGCTTTCACATGAGGAAAATTGCACATCTATCTTCTTTAAGCCACCATATTTGGAGTATCTTTACACTAAAGACTCACCTATTTCCTAGTGAATATGCCACTTTCTAGATTCCCAGAAACTCATGAGTCAATAGAGGGGACACAATGGGAGACAAACCAAAGAACACACGGACTGCAGGACTGCATCATGGACATCTGTGGTTTGGGATCCATCACCTTCTTGTGCGGTCACTGTCAGGACACCACCCCTCCTACTAGGTCAGTGGTTCAGGGTAAAACTTACCCTACTCACTTGCTTCAGTGGGTGGCCACATGACCCAGAACTAGCCAATCGGTTACTATCATTGGGCCAGGGGAGGGCACATGATCCTGAACTAGCCAACTGGTCATTGTCATTGGGCCAGGAGTGGGCCCAGGACTGGCCAGTAAAAGTTAGGCCTGAGGCTCTTGCTATAACCACAAAGAAAAGGCTTCTCTCAGCTGCACAGGACGCCCAGTTTCTAGAAGGAAAAGTGCAATTGCAGGGCCAGCTCTGCCACCACACAGGGAGAGCCTACATGAAAATGGATCAAGCTCAGAAAGCAGAGCTGAAAGATAACAGGATTCCTCATGTTGGAAGATCTTTAGGTCACCAAGCAAGTACTTCTTTTTGGTTTAAGCTGCATAAGGTCGGGTTTCTATCCCTTGCAGCCAAGAGGGTCTTTTGAGGAAATCTCACATAGGATGAAGCCCATCTTTCCCCTGCCTGTCTGGGCCCCATTCTGACACTTTAAGTCACCAAGCAAGTACTCTTTTTTTTGGCTTAAGCTGCATAAGTTCAGATTTCTTTGCAACCAAGAGGGTCTTTTGGGGAAATCTGTACATGGGGTAAGGCCCATCTTTCCCCACTGTCTGGGCCCCGATCTGCCTCAGCCCCTCAGAGATGTGAGAGGCTCACCACCTGGGAGGGAGCCAGAGGCTGCCCCAGGGCTTTCTGCCTCCCCAAATCCTGCCCTTGGCTCTGGGTTTCCCATGGTGGGGCAGGCCAGCACCCACCTTCAGCTCCTGGAGCTTCAGCCGGAGGTGGATGAGCCTCACTACGGCATCTTTCTGCTTCTCCGACTGCTCAGGCAGCTCTAGAATCACCTGCTTGCACTCCTCAATGGCCTGCTGCAGCTGCTGGATGTCAGAGGCCAGGAACAGACCCTGCCCGGGCAGGGTGGTACAGTCAGACGCCCACCCTGCAGGCTCTCCCTATTAAGGCTAGACCCATCCCTAGAGACAGGCCAAGGTAGACCTCAGTGGTCCCTCACCCAGATAAAGAAACTGAAGCCCAGTGGGGGTTGAGGACTTGCTCCAGACCCAGGAGAGCTGTCAGCATGGTTAGGACTCATCCCATGCACCTGCCCCTGGCTGGACCTGTCTACCATGGGCCTGTGAAGATCTAATGTTTGAAGACTGCTTTTCAAAAGACAACTTCCTTCTTTTAGAAGTCCAGTTGCTAGGCCGGGCAAGGTGGCCCACGCCTATAATACCAGCACTTTGGGAAGCCAAGGTAAGAGGACTGCCTGAGCTCATGGGTTCAAGACCAGCCCAGGCAACTTGGCGAGACCTCATCTCTACATTAAATCAAGAAATTAGCTGGGCGTGGTGGCACATGCCTGTAGTTCCAGCTACTTGGAAGGCTGAGACAGAAAGATCACCTGAACCCAGCAGGTCAAGGGTGCAGTAGCTGCGAGTGTGCCACTGCACTCCAGCCTGGGCAACAGAGTGAAACTCCAACCCCCTCCCCAAAAAGAGAAGTCCAATTGCTTTTGTGGTTATGTCATTTAACTGATTTCTGAAGAGCTTCCTCTTGGAGGAGAGCTAGGGAAATGGCACTCACCATTATGGAAAGCCAGCAGCCTCCAGCTTAACTGCCAAGCCCAGGCAGATGCCAGCAAGTGCCAGCCCCAGAACTTAATGCTACTTTCCCCCCACCCTGACCCAGGGGCTCAGGGCCCAGCAAGCTCCCAGATCAGAGCACTCTGCTGCCACTGGGAAAGACAGGACCCGGTCTGAGCTGGGACTGGGGCTGACCCCGCCCTCAGGAACCATCCTCATCCTCCAGGCTGCTGGGCTCTGAGAGACCCAGGCATAGAGGAGATGGCATCTTCCCCCCCCCCCCAACTTCTCCCTTGCAGCTCAGTCTGTGGCCAAAGGAAGTGCTCAAAATGTTATAATATACAAAACAGGCTGGGCTCAGTGGCTCAGCCTATAATCCCAGCACTTTGGGAGGCTGAGATGAGAGGATTACCTGAGCCGATGGGTTCAAGAGCAGGCTGGGCAACTTGGCAAGACTTCATCTCTACAATAAATAAAAAAATTAGCCGAGCATGGTAGTGCATGCCTGTAGTTCTGGCTACTGGGAAGGCTGAGGCGGAAGGATCACCAGAGCCCAGCAGGTCAACACTGCGGAGGCTGTGAGCATGCTACCGTACTCTAGCCTAGGCAATGGAGTGAAACTCCAACTCAAAAAAAAAAGTATAAAAACATATGTCAGTTATGGGCAAAGCATTAAAACCACATTCAAAATGAAAGTGAATGAGAATGGGGGGATTCTGGCTTATTATTATTATTATTATTATTTTGAGTCGGAATCACTCCATCCCCCAGGCTGGAGTACAGTGGCACACTCAAGGCCACTGTAGCCTCTGCCTGCTGGGTGCAGGTGATCCTTTCACCTCAGCCTTTCAGTAGCTGGAACTATAGGCCTATGCTACCACGTCTGGCTAATTTGTTTTATTTATTGTAGAGATGAGGTCTCACCAAGTTGCCCAGGCTGGTCTCGAACCCTGGGTTCAGGCAATTCTCTTACCTTGGTCTCCCAAAGTGCTAGGATTACAGGCTGGATCCACCACACCCGGCTCAAACTTGTTTTTTTAAACATTAGATCCCCCTGCATTTTTTTCCTTCAAAACAAAATACAGAACAAACAAGAATGGTCCCGTGGTGCCGAGCAGGTGGTGAGAGGCAGGCAGGGGGCTTCCCCCTGCCCCCCATGACATGTCTCAGGACCCCTGAGGACCCCAGATGGACCACCTCTCACATCTGCCTCAGGAGAACCTGCAGTTTGGGATGGGAGCAGCCCCAGCCTCCCGAACCCTATTCCCAACCTGTCTCTACCTGCCCTCACACAGGCTTGAGCGTGGGGGTCAGGGGTGTCATGTAGGCCTCAAATTCAAGGCCCAGGAGCCTTGGCTAAGGTGGGGGCTACAGAATCTGACAATGGGGGAAGACTGCCCTCCAGCCCATGGGCCAGTGTCAGAGAGGACATGGCCCTGCCTGTGGGAGGAAGGGACAAGGAAACCACCAGCCCCTCATACCTCAGGGGCTCAGTCAGTCACTCTCCCCTCCCAGACCCCAGATCTTACCACAGGGCGAGAGAAGTGGTCCTCAGACAGGCCAAGATCCATCACGCGCTCAGTGCAGCGAAACTCTGGCTCCTCGGGGGGCAGCTCAGGTGGGGCCTCTGGGGGGAGAAGGTGTGGAGGGCCACAGAGAAATGTCAGTTTCTGCTCCTGCTCTACATTCCCTAGGGAGGAGCTGGGATGGTCAGGGGCGGGAGGGGAGCCCATAGAAAGGAGGCACTGGGGAAACTGGGTACCACTCAGACCTGCACTTCTGCCAGTTCACATCTGCGAAGGAGCAGACAGGAAAGAGGTTCAAAGAGGAGGTGAAAGGGTGCTCAACAGGGCCAGGAAGCCAAGATGGCCTCGTAGAAACATCCTCACTTCTTAGGCCGGGCTTGGTGGCTCAGCCTGTAATCCCAGTACTTTGGGAAGCCGAGGCAAGTAGATTGCCTGAGCCCGCGGGTTCGAGACCCACCCAGGCAACTTGGCGAGACCTCATCTCTACAATAAAAATAAAAATAATTAGCCAGGCGTGGTAGTGTGTGCCTGTAGTTCCGGCTACTTGGAAGGCTGAGGCCGAAGGATCACCAGAGCCCAGCAGGTCGATGCTGCGGTGGCTGCGAGCGTGTCACTCCACTCCAGTCTGGGTGGCACAGTGAGACTCCAACTCAAAAAAAAAAAAAAAAAACCCGAAACATCCTCACTTCTAAGGCAGACACCTCATGTATAAATATATGGGTTGAAGAAAAACCACTGGATGCCTGCACAACGAAATTCATGGACCTCTGTGAGGATTCCAGGCCACCTCTGCAGCTGTCCAGGCCACAAGCATGCCCTGCTGACCTTACCTGCAGTTTTGGCGATCATGCCATCCCATCCCCAGAGGGCATTCTATCCACTAACTTCTCCCCCACCAGATCTCTGCTCAGATTTTACCCAGCAAGTGTTCCCTGAGCACCTACTGTGTGCTGGGCCCCAGGATACAGTAGTAATGGGTCAGGCACAAACCCCTGACCTCAGGAGCGCTCAGTCTAGGCGAAAGACAGAAGCAACCATAGAGCAGGTGGGAAACAGCAGGAAGAAGGAGTGACCTGAGGGTTTAGATCCCTCACAGTTTCCACTCCGCCAGCACCCACCTTCAGAAGCGACGTCCGGGGCCTCCTCCCCAGACCCTTGCTCATGCTGCCTCGGCCCAGGCTGCTTGTTGAAGGGGTTGAGGTGGGCCTGCCGGAACCGGGCCAACTTCTCATCATATTCCATAGCATCCCACCTGGGGACAGGGTAGGGCTGGAATGAGTGCCCAGGTCCCCAGCTCACCTGGGACCATCCCCTTCCCCAAGTCCCCTGGGGTTTCAAGGCCTCAGCCAGCCTCTTTCACCTCCCTGGAGGGCCTGGCTGGGACATGGGCACACCACAGCCTGGATCTTCAGCCCCTCCACAAAACACCTCAGCGACCTTGCCCAGGTCCCACTGCTGGATGCCCTCGGGAAATCCCCCAGTAGTGCTAGTGTCCACTCACCCTCATCACGCAGGGACAAGAAGAGCTGGGAGGGCACATGGCCTCTCCAAAGTGCCCAGCCAAATGGGATGACCCCCAAGCTCCCTGCCTCCCTGATGGGGCTCTGGCCCTAGGTCTGCCCGGCAGCCTCCTGGCTGGGTCTCACATCAGCCTCCCACTCAACCCTGTCTGGCTGTTGCCTACTCTCAGGAGACACACCTCCTGGAAATGGGTACCTCCTTCCTGGCCCCCAACCAAGGTACTCCTTTCCCATCAGGGCACCTGAAACCACAGGGTCCCTGTCAGAAGGCTCCGGGTAGGACACCTGGGACAGTGCCAGGGCCCATTCCTGCTCTGGCACCTGTGAGTGACCTTGGGCAGGACTCACCTTCTCCCTGCCCTGGGAGTAGGGGTTCTTGGGAAAATTAACTGCTGGCACATGGAGAAGCCACCAAAACGCACCCAGGCTGTCCTTGGGCCTGGTTCCAATCCAGGTGCGTGATATAACCCCAGCCAGTCCTGTGGCTCCAGGCCTTAGGATCCCAGGTAACAGGCAGGAGGTGACCAGTCCACCACCCAGCAGAAGCTGAGGAACAACTTCTCTTGTCCTCTCTGGAGCTTAGCAAACTGCATAACATGCAGGGCTGGTGGCTCCAGGCAGGGAGGAAGAGGCTTTGATTGGCATGGTAAGGGAGGCAGGTTGCATCCAGCCCCCCCCCTTAGCTCTCTGGGCCCCATTCCTTTGCCTCTCAGCTTCCATTTCCTCATCTGGAAATGGGTCACCGTGGGGGTGACATGAGTTCATAGATATTGAGCACAAAATTAGCTCTCTGTAAGGTTTGCTAATGCTCTAAGAAATCAAAGAGGTGTTTTGTTTTGTTTTTTAAACCTGTACCTGCTCATGCCTGTAATTCCAGCACTTTGAGAGGTGGAGGCGAGAGGATTCCCTGAGCCCAGAGGTTCAAGACCAGCCTGGGCAACTTGGCGAGAACTTGTCTCAATAATAAACCAAAAAAAAAAAAAAGTCAGGTGTGATGGCATGCGTCTGTAGTTCCAGCTACTTGGAAGGCTGAGACAGAAGGATTGCCTGAGCCCAGCACGTCGAAGCTGCAGTAGCCATGAGTGTGCCACTGCACTCCAGCCTCAACAAAGTGAGACTCTGACTCAAAATAAATAAATGAATAAAATAGATAACTAAAGTTGTGTAGCAAGTGTGTGTGCTGGGTATGCTTTCTCTATATGTGTAACAGGCTGAAATAATCAGAATTACAAGACAATTCTATGACTCCTCCCCTGCCTCATCCCTTAAAGAGAACTGAGCCCAGAGGGGTCGGCCCTGGCCATGCTGTGGCCGTGGGGAGCTGGGATTTGAATGAATTGTCTCACCCAACCCATGCGGCTACTCTGCAGCTGGGCAGGAAACTTGCACCACCTGTGGGGCATGTCCTGCCGGTTCTGCCTCTGTGCCACAGAGCGTGGGTTAAGCAGTTCTAGCCTGGCAGGACCCAGCCCCTATTAATGGGCTGCCTTGTATGAAGCAGAAAGGTTTGGGCAGGACACAGGCACCTGGCCCCAGGTCTGCCTCTCACTTACTATCTGATGACTTTGGGCAGCTCACATAGGTGGGAGGGCGTGCGAGAGCCAGAGGGTCCACCCGTGGCCAGCGTCTCCTTCTCCCCAGAGTGTCTTAGGGGATCCACAGTGTGCGGGAGAAATCAGGTTGCCCCAGTGTCCACTCAGCCCTTCCTCTTGAGTAGGGGGCCCTCCTTTCTGGTTTATCACATGATTTCCCAGCCTCCCTGCAGCTAGACCTGGTAATGTGACTAGATTCTGACCAATGTGACTTGAAAAGGAAGATCATAGACTTCGGGGAGTTGCTCTTAAAGGACAGGGCTGACCTCTTCAGCCCCTCCTGCTGCCCATTGTCTGGGATACAGATGCAATGGGCAGGGCCGGAGCAGCCACACTGGGTGTGCCATGAAAGCCATGACTGAGGGGGGTAGCGACAGGATTGCAGGGGACTCTGCCTGGGCCCCTGAGCTGCTCACTGCTAGGCTTCATTCAAGTGAGACAGAAATAATCTCCTACTTACACCACTGTCATCGAGAGGGGAGTTTCTGTCTCTTGTAGCCAAAATACAGTAGATCCCAAATGCTTCATGGTGATGAAGATGGGTGGGCCCAACTTGAATCCCAGCTCTGCCACCTCCTAACTGCGTGAACTTGGGTCAGTGTATAAGCCTATCTCTGCTTCCAATCCCTCGTGTCTCAAATGGGGATTGTAATACTACCACACAGGGTTATTGGAAAGATTAAATTAGTTAATACAAAGTTCTGAGAACACAACACAGAGCAAGCACCCAGTAACTGTTGACCACAATTCAATATCACTGTTACTATTATTTTTAAGACTCAGGCAGTCCTAATTTAAACTCTGGCTCTCCCAGTGATGAGCTACATGATGACATGCTCTTGCCTATAAACTGAGGACAACACCTGCCTCCCGGGGTGGATGCAAGGACATACATATGTCAGTGAGGCCAGCAGCCCAGATCTGCTGTGGAGAGACTGTCACTGTCACCCCATGGTGACCAGCCCAACCGAAAAGGGCTGAGACAGAGGATGCAGGAGCCCCTCCTGGGAAGCTGAACCCGCCGGGTGTCTGAATACAGCCAGAGAGTGCCAAGGCAGCTGCCGTGGCAGGGATGCCCTGCCCATACCAGCAGCCTCCTCCTCTGGACTGTGAAGAAAGCGTCTCTTATTCACCTCCCGAGCATCAGTGCCAGTCTCTGGCCTGGCACAGAGGCAGCGGGTGGGTGAGCCAGTCAAGCCCATCGACCTCTCAGCCTTAGTTTCTCTCCTGCCAAGTTGAGAATCGCATTTCCCTGTCTGTGAGGACAGACGGATGGTGTCCCCACACACTGACCTTAGGGACACAGGGTGCAGCAGAGCAGCAGCCAGCCCCCATACCCCACACGGTTTCAGGACTGTCCTTAGAAAGGAACAGGCAGGAAGGGCAGGCAGACAGAAACATACCACTCCACCCTCAGCCCTTGTCCTGGAGACCAACCCTCTCATGGGGGAGCGCCACCGTGTAGAAATGGCAGGAAACCTCAGGGAGAAGCCCAGGGCACTGGGGCCTGAGGGACACTGGGCTGGAACTCAGGATATCCCACGCTGGCCTCCCCTCCTGTTCAATGGATGACCATCAGGAAGTGGCAATGTCACCACAGCCACCGCCCGGAGGCCCTGAGGACTCCCCCCAACCCGGGAGGAGGAATACATTCTGTCCTCTCTGCTCATACCTGGAACGCAGGCCAGGACCCAGGGGCATGGAGGGACAGGTTACCGTTCCCTTAGGGACTGTTTGCCTCTGACGCCGACCTGGGGGTTCACAGCCTGCTGCAGGGACAAGCCACCCCCGAAGTGTACCTCCTGGCTTCCCATGACCACACACATTCGCTCTAAATGGCCTGACGTCACAGGAGCAGGTCTCGCCCACCACACCCACCCATTACATAGATGGGGAAACTGAGGCCCACGGCACCCAGCCTCCAAGAAGGTGGCACAGCCACGCGGGTCTCCTGGGCGTACGGACCCACCCCGACAAGCCGTAGGGTCGGCGAGGGCAGCGGCAGCTGCGCCTGGAGGGCAACTGAGGCAACCAACGCCCCCTGCGCGGGGAGAGCACCAGAAAGTGGGCGCCCCGGGGTCTGAATCCCGCGGGCGCCGCCGGGGCCTTCGGCAGCCTCTGGGCGCTCAGCGTGCGCGTCGGGAAGTGGGGCCCCCGGAGCCATCGGGCCCGGTGGGCCGTGTGAGCCCCCGAGGGCCGGGCGCCCCCAGTTTCCTTCCCCTCCAGCCCCGCCGCCCGCCCAAGGCCCCCCTCCACCGCTCACCTGACCGCCGCCGCCCTCGCTACATTGTATCCGCCCCGCCGCGATTGCTACATTGTATCGGCCCCTCCGCCCGCTGCTGCCGCCTGCGGTCCGGAGGCTCATGACACGCAGGGTCCCGAGAGCCTGCGCCCGTCCCCGCGCCCCTGAGGGCCCCCATGTCCCCCTCCGGGAAATGGGGACTCTTCAACCCAGCTGTTCAAGAAGGTACGGCCACGGGCTGCATCTCCTAGCTTCGCCCAATCACAAAAGTCTTGGTTTAAATCAAACCACAGCCCACACGAAATGGTGGTTGTGTTCTGTTTTGAGTTGCAGTCTCACTCCCTCGCCCGGGTTGGAGTGCAGTTGCACGCTCAAGGCCACCCCAGCGTCGACCTGCTGGGCTCGTGATCCTTTCGCCTCTGCCTTCCGAGTAGCCGGAGCTACAGGCACGGGCTACCACGTCCGGTTATTTTTATTTTATTGTAGAGACGAGGTCTCGAACCCGCGGGCTCCAGCAATCCACTCGCCTCAGCCTGTAATCCCAAAGTGCTGGGATTACAGGCTGAGCCACCCAACCCAGCCGGTGTTTTTTTGTTTGGTTTGGTTTCTTGGGGGTTTTTTTTTTAGATCCCTAGTGGTTGAGGGAAAAGAGGACCAGAGCCACCATGCAAGCGGCAAACTCGTGTGCTGGATTTCACCAGAGAAATGTGCCCTGTGTGGTCTTAACAGCTGATGAGGGAGGAACTCCTGGTCACTCTGTCCCACTTTACAAGGAAGAAACTGAGGTACAATGAGGTTATGGGGCTGTTCAGTGGAGGACTTTGGAGGCACCCGATTTCTGCAGGGCCTGGTGCTATGATGCTTTCTGTTGGGGTTCTGACGGACAGGGTGAGGGTGGAGAGGCGAGGGGCAGGCTTGGCAGCACTGCCAGGGCTGGGGAGAGGGAGGTGCCGTGCTGGGAACCCAGAGATCCAAGTAAATGCAAAGAATTGCAACTCACAAAAAGGTTAAGAAAGAAGAGTTTATTTAAAAGTAAATTAAGCCAAACTCGGTGGCTCAGCCTGTAATCCTGCGCTTTGGGAGGCTGAGGTGAGTGGATTGCCTGAGCCCACGGGTTCGAGACCCACCTGGGCAACTTGGCAAGACCTCATCTCTACAATAAATCAAAAAATTAGCCGGACATGGTAGCATGTGCCTGTAATTCCAGCTACTTGGAAGGCTGAGCAGAAGGATCGCCGGAACCCAGCAGGTCAAGGCTGCGGTGGCCAGAAGCGGCCACTTCACTCCAGTCTGGGCAACAGAGTGAGACTCCAACTCAAAAAAAAAAAAAAGTAAATTAAAGAGAGAAAGAGAAGGAAGAGAGAAGATTCACCTCC